TACTTCTCAAATCCCTTTTTGGACATCAACTTTCAAGCATTGACAACCGTGGAAGTTGGGGCTATCTTCAATTATAATGAAATCACTGTATAAAATTCGTTTTTGCATTTCAGCAAGCAGATCATTGTTTTACTTCTCAAATCCCTTTCTGGACGTCAGCTTTCAAGCATTTGGGCTCTTGGACTGGGTTCTTTCAGTCGCTCCTATTATCCTGGTTGTGATCAATTAGCGGTGCTGCTTGAGTTAAAATATCATTTTGGATGTGAAGTTTATTTCCAAGAACCATGCTTAACAGAAATGGAAAAAGTTCGTTAGTCCTTTTCCTAGCACTAATTTTTAATTCATAGATTTGGACGACTTTCTTAAATTACATAGAAAATAGATGGGAAGGATCAGTAGACATACCAAGTGTCAATTATAATGTTTACTTATCCCACCAGATGTTTCGTATTGAGATTTTTGAAATCTTATTGATTGTCTTTTAAATCATAAACACAAGAGTCATGCAATTCGTGTTATTTTCTTGTTTATTTTACATCAGAATTCTTATTTTTTTTCTGATTTCCTTTCTCTTTATCCTGGTCTTTCAATCTTCTATATAAATGTTTTTGTACTTAGATTACAGTTTTCAAATTTAAGGTTAAGTAAATTGATTTTTCAGCGTTGGCTGTGTGATCATGCTATTTGTTTATCAGAAACCAATGATTTGTTAGAATGTCGAGTATCAAATGATGATGTTGACAATGGAAAGATCGTGTTATTCTATGCACCTCATTGTGGACATGCTGTATACAACAGTGTAATTTATGCTCATAGGAAGGAACTTAAAAGGATTATTATTGCAGGTAAGCAGTTTTATTTAGCTTATCTCAACTTTATCGAGATATATCATACGCAATCGAAGTAGCGTTTGAAACATAAAGTGTTTTTTGTGGCGTATGAAATTTTTTTTCGATATTATCCCATTATTCTGCAAACGAATTTCCAGGTAATAACCTTCAATCCATGAATTTAGCCGCCAAACATTTAAAGAAATATGAAGAATCTGTACCAGAAAAATGTGCTGTGAGAAAATGCAATGTAGCAGATTTGGAAATGCCTGGTTGCAGTGAACTTCATGCCCTTTCATTATACAGTAAAGTGTGTACATTGTTAGAATTTCCCATTTTTAAATCAAATTTTGCTGTTTTCAACGACACAGCCTTACATTTTCTGCCGCAAAACACACCATTGCCAGAAATTTCCGAAACAAGACCAAATTATCGATTTTTTAGACACGAAATTGTGATTTGAAATATTCTAATGAAATAATAACTGGAAGTAATAAGAACCTGAATGTTGTCGTTGTTATTTAGGTCAGTTTTCATTATCGTTTTTATTGTTTTTTCATCGTTCCACAAATTAATGATTATTGATTATGAAGTGTGTCATTTTGTCAAAAGATATATTGATTAATCTTTCTCATTTAAAGTTATTTTTTACCACAGGCAAAGTAACAGTCGCATGTTTCGTTTCAAAATTTTACTCATGTATTGTTTATCGGGTCCTCAAATGCTGTTACCAAAATGAAAAGTTAGAAACGTGTAAGACAGTTCATTTCGTTCATCTCCCTTCCTTTACTGTGTTATTGTAACTAAAAAAATGAATAAGTTGTGCTTGCACTTCTTAATGAAATAAGCAGACATAACTTTCAAGCATTTTGGATATTAGCATCTTAAAAATTAGCCAAAAATGTGGTTCTGCAATATCAGTAATGATTGTATTAAAAGGAGTAATAATTGTTCCTCTGTCAGAATCAGGAAATTTTTTCATAAATCGGGATCAACATTTCAAAATGAAGACTTTGAAAGCTTTCATTTTTGTTAATACTTCAAGAAATGCAAAAAGATCCNTGATTGTATTAAAAGGAGTAATAATTGTTCCTCTGTCAGAATCAGGAAATTTTTTCATAAATCGGGATCAACATTTCAAAATGAAGACTTTGAAAGCTTTCATTTTTGTTAATACTTCAAGAAATGCAAAAAGATCCACAATTCGAATAAGTTCCAATTTGAAATAAATACCATGAACATCTTATTTTTATCAGTTGCATTTCAACAGTCGGGTTAGATTATTGCATCTTCATTCATTTTAAGCTTCTCACTTAAAGGGTGAAAAGCCTCTCTTGTTCTCCCTATCACTCCGAAAAGAAGTTTGAACTAAAAAGACATAGGTTGGAATATTCCAAAAAAATCCCCAAAGTTACAATATCCCAAACTTACAGTACTTGATATCATTAAGTTCATGCTATAAAAAAGAAGTTGGTAAAATTTGAAAAGTTAGAAAAAGAGAAAAAATTGCGCGAAGGAAATGTAAAGCTGTTTGCCAGGTCGTGGTGTTTACCAGCCATCATCTGGATATTTTGAAACATTGAATTAAGACCTGTGGTAGGAATATCTTTTGATGTCAGACAATTGTGCTGGATGAAGAAATAAAAATCTTAAAATTAATAGCAAATTATTCGTAATACCAGACTTGTTTGCGTTGCTTATGTGTACATATATTTTCATCGCTATTTTGCATACAGTGCAAGAATGGTAAAAATTGATATCATTAATAAAGTCTACTCGTATAATTATTAATATAAAAAATGTTTACATTTCTTGAAGTATAATTATGCAATAGGGAATGATTACTCAAAGAAGATATGATGGCATGACCTGATATTACCAAATAGTATTTGTAAGTAAAATCGCAAATTTAGCTCATCAAATTTACTCATAATTTATTGATTCGAAATGTGCTCTTTGATTTGAATGGATTTTTTGATAATTTATGTAATATTGAAAACTATATTTTATGCTTTTTTATTATTGCGCTAATTTATTTCAGATGTATGTAGTTGAAGTTATATATATTTTTAGAATGGATTTTATCCTGTTTATTTTTATCGATTTTATTTCTTTATTACAACAGGTAGACATTTTAACAACTAACAACTAATAAATGATCCTAGTAATAGCAGTGAAATGATAATAAGATGGTCCATATCAAAATTTAAATATTACTCTCTAAAGACTTTCAAGACTTTCATAATATTATTAGTAAATTTTTTTATACTACAATTTTATTCAACTTAACTAGAAACTGGTATGGACTTTAGATACCAGCTAAAAACCGGTATAGACTTTAAATAGAAATTAAAAAAACAACGAAATGCATTTTATTCTTTTTCCAACAAAAATTATTATTCCTAAAAACTTGATTCTTCAATCATTTCAACACTTCAACTAACCAGCTTTTCATGACCAGCTTTGTTTCATTCCTTTCAAATTTCTTAACATTCTATAATTCTGATCATTTTTTAAAGATGAAAATGAAAAATGAAATAGAGGAATAAAGCAACGAATTAAAATATTAAAATATTAAACCTCAGTGATTACTAATATAATAGTGAAATGGAGGATTTAAGTGACGAAGAGTTTGTCACTCCACTCGAAGATCGCTTCATTGCTGGAGGCTTTGAAAGTTTCCATATCTTAAATATATTTTTTTCATTGGTACTTTTAGTCTATTCATAATTTCATTAAATAGATTTATAAATAAGTTCACTTTTTACAGGTAAGCAATTAAACTGAATTCATTTACCGTTGCATAAAAAAGTTATTTATTTTATGTATCAAACCAAGAAGAAATTCAATTTTAATTTTTTGCAAAACTTATGATGCATTGAAATTTTGCATAAGCTATCATTAAACTCTCAAATAATTTTTAAGGAAATTAATTAATAATAATACTATTCGGAACCAACAATTCAATATCATAAACTTTGACAACTTTGATAACTCGAATGATTTATCAATACCTTTATCAATTCACCGTTAATCATTCATTCATTTATTACTTGCGTAGAACGTCCGTCAAAATAGCATAACAGGAATCGCAAATTCCAAATGATTTGTTGCATTTAGATATCTGCTATGACCTTATTATCTTCTAATTACCTTTATTAATCAATCATTATAGATTAGCTGGAAAATAAACTTGTTGTATTGTTGAGGAATGATGGAAGTTTTTATTTTTGTTTTCGACATTCTACACTTTGAACGATCGAATACGTTTAATAATTATTTAATACTTTTATGAAATTATGTGAAATAACATTTAAGGTCATTCAACGAACACGGCAAAGGTCAAATAAAGAACAAACAATATGGATTTTACAAAAGATCTCATTTATGTGTTATTTAATGAGGTAATTCACTTATGAGTACTTAATGCTTCTTCAACTTTATGACCTTTTCGAAACGATATCAATCACTCTATTCATATTATCACTGTTAATTGATAGATGCCAATTAATGCTGATATTAATTGAAATTAAAAAATGAATTTGTAAAACTTTAAACACCGATAGTTAACGATGTGCACAAAGTTTTTCAAAATCAGATTTAAAATTACAATGCTACACTTAATTGAATTAATGAGCTAATAAAAATTATAATCAAACTTTTTTGAGAATATAATTGAGTGGGTGGAAAGTCTCTCTTTAATAATTTAATCAATTTGACAAAAAAGAAAAGTGAATGGTCAGTCTTGATCGGATTGGACAACTGTGACCATAGGCTACAAGCTATGACATATTTGCATATCATTTTAGTTAAACTCCTTCATTCGATATGTGATATTTTTTTTATCATCATTTGAAGAAAGAAACGCTTTCCAATTAATAAATTCAAATTCGAAAAATTTTGCAGTTTTGTCTGAAAATATTATCATCAGTGAAACTATTGATAAGGAGGAATATGATAAAATTTAAACAGTATTTAAGAATAACCTGACGGACTTAATTTCATAAACTTTTTTCTTATCTTATATATACGGAGAGAGAGAGAGAGAGAGAGAGGAAGGGAAAGACAGAAGTCAAGTTGTTTTAACTGTTTCATTGATAGTTAACAAATGTATAATAGCGCTAGAATTGTGCAACATTTTCATTATGCAAACAAATATTGTTAAAAATTAGCAATTGTATAGGATCGATCGTTTACTCTTCCTGAGTTAAAAGAAGTTTATTCATTAAACTATGATAGTGATTTATTGATCTTATCATCTTATCACTCAAGTAGTAATCTTTATCTTATATCTATGCATTAGTATATTTTAGCTTAAATTATAGATCTCTCAGTTGAATTCACTATTTAGAAAAAATTAGCGATTCTGAATGATCGATTGGTAATCAACGAAAAAAAAATTATAATAATGGCATTGTTCTTTAACAATGATAATCAAAAGATAGTTCATAATAATATTAACAATAATTTGAGTGGTACCAAAGGATGCAATTGTTAAATCTATCAAATGGTACTTTAATAAAAAAATGAATCATTGCAAAAATAAATTATTGTTATTTTGATTTTAGACAGCTATAATAAGTATTATTATTACTATTCTATTTAACTCAAAAAAAGAAAAACGTCGAAAATTTGTCGGAAAAAACAAGAATAAATCTTTGTTAATTCATTTCATTCCAAACAACACAATGAATTCCAAAAATAAAAAAACGGAAGAAAGAACCAGTTCACCTGAATTTCTTCCATTTAAATGAAACTAATTAAATTGGTAATATTTAAATAGCAAAAAGCAAAAAAATAATCAATCCTATCTTTTGTTCAATCTAACAATCTGCTTGATCCCACGATTCCTTAATGATTGAAGCAACATTCTTTAATGGATGAGAAACCAGATTTCAATAAAGCAAATCGTTCGTTCATATTCATCTTATCAAAGTAATCATCATGTGTTTATTGTTCAACTAATTTATCGTTAAACAATCATCTATACCACTTTTTCGTACTTTTTTTTTTGTTTACCTTAAATTCATGAAATTTAAATTTTTAAGGAAAATTTCATTTTGGGAAATAAATTGATTTATTCGTAGTTTTTTTAAGCATTAAAAGTTTTTTGCTAAATAATTTTGATTTGAAAATATTGAATATAAGTAATTAGAATGCTTAATTCATTCGATATAATTAATCATTTGAAATTGTCGGAATATCGTATTTGAACAATTAATCCTATTAAGATATAAATGAAAGAACAAAAAGTGTTATTTTAATTTATTTTATTTTTGCTTAATTTTAACAATTATTTTAAATTGCAATCGATTATTCCTTTAAATTTCATCGAATGGATAACGTTTTCACGTACAGAATGAACGTACGTCATAATATTATAATTATTTACTCTAAACTAATCAATTCTATTTATTCTGTAAAGTATGCGTAAAATTAAATTAATTGTGGAAGAAATTATTT